TATATAAAATTTGTTATATATATATATATATATATATAAATTTGAAAACCTAGCCTTTTTTTGTCGACTCTACAGAGGCCAGTTTCAACAACGATATTTTAGTTAAAGGTCATAATCCAGAACGCCTTAAACTGTTCTGCATACCAAACCGGTCAACTTAGAAGCACCATAACTTAAAACAAAAGTGCACAACACACATTAATAAATTACCCACTGTTTCGACAATTAAAAATGAAAGAAAAAAAACTGGGCAAGAAAAAGACTTCTTTGTTTCACAGTTGTCTAAGCACAACAAGAAAAGAAAAAAAATAAAAATTACTCAGATCTAAAAAAATTAATATGCAGAAAATAAGTACTCCAAGAAATACAAACATATTATGCTAAATGCACTAGTTTGCCATAGCTACCTGATATTAAATATATACAGCCTTTAAGTAATCACTCCCAATCTTCCAATAATAAATTACTCCTCCAGACACTGTTAAATTTTATTTAAATCACAAAACCTTTTCTGGTTCTTTATCCTATTCTTTTCCACAGATTTAAAACAAGAGAAGAAAAGTTTGCCAGCTGCCGTATAGAACCCGACAAATAGAATATGATCCCATTATTTATAAATTTTTTGTAAAGCAGTCGCAAATGCTAGCTAGAGAATATTACCTTACACAGGCAACTTTAAGATTAGCCTTAAAAAAGTTAAGAAAAAAGCACCCGTGAGAAACAGTACTCATAATCAGCAAAGAAAAGTAAACAAAATTACAAAGAACCATTGAGAGCAATAATAAAGAGTGTAGACACCGAACATACCAGACCCATTCACTTGTACACAGCACAGATGTACCTTTGACAATTCCAGTCTTCTGGAACATAGAATACTTTCGAGTCGCTTGGGGACTGCAGAAATAAATTTGAAGAGAAAAATAATTACAAGACGACTTAGTATAGGAAACTATCACCACTACTGCTCTCCCGTTCAACATCGCTGATACTCCGCAACAGGGATTCAGTCCGTTGAGTGCACTCATCAATATCCTAAATTTTAGAAGTCAATTATACACCACTGGTGATGTAAAGCATACCATAAATGAAATCCATATTCACGCCGCTGCGAAAATTAAGTAGGCTTCCATAACAACGACACTTCCCCAAAATCTATAGTTGACGCTATTACTGTACAAATAACTTACTGACTAAGAATGTCAGCAAAAAAGTACCTCAATGAGCATTGAGTGACTACGTAACATTTCAGAGAGGTTTTCAGTAGTGTTTGTTGCACCAGTCCGACTACTAGCTAAAGAGCTTTCGCTATCACTAGCTTCAGGCGAGCTAAGAGTACCAGAAACTCCAACTCCATCAGGAAGTTCAGTTCGATATCGGAAATCCGAGAGCTCCGAACTTATGCTAAAAATATCTGAGCAATGAAGAATGTGCTAACAAAACAATCAAAATTCTTGAAGAAAATTCATAATGAGGCAACCTACATAAAATCTTTCGCTTCCTTTTTCTTATCGCAGTTCCCAATAAGATGCTGAGCAAGCAAGATAACACCTGAACCTAGATTTCCAGACCGAGACTCCCGTCCTTCTGACGCTGACGTTGTAGGCTCTTCATCAAATATTGATGGATCTATAGTCTTATCACATTCCAGAGATGTTATCTACAATCAGTTGATTTATTCAAAAAATCATATTAGCTGCACAAGAAAACTAATGAAACTAACTTCGTCAAGCTTCGACTTTATGCCTTTCACTGCCTCACAATGATCTTCCCTTCTTCTCTCCTGTTCTTTATCTAATTCTGTCTTCCTATTTTTCTTCCTTGTCTTTACCCCTTCTCCAGTGAAACTTCCTGGAGAACTGTTGCCAGCTTCACGCCTCATACCAGAAAGCTAAAAAAAGAAGCATTGACACGAGAGGGCATAATGATGAAATTATTTAATTAGGATACCAATTCAATATCCATGCAAAACTTACACTTCGTTCTTCATGTATGGAATCAGATATTTGTTCCAAATTCCTTAATGAAGTTGTATAATCAAACTTCTTTTGACGTACCTTAAACAGGAAAGTAAGAGAACTATGTACCTACAGATATTTTTTACAAACTTTAAGAAACTTAATTTAAAAAGAAATAATTCAGTAAGAACCTCGGTCTCCAATTCCAGTATAAAACGTTTCTGATTTTCCAGGACCTTTGCAAACTGAACACGCTGTTCAAAATAGTGACGACTCTTTTTAATCGCACGGCCATTCTCTTTCTGCATTGTTGCAATCCGTGCTGAACATTCTGCCATTTTTACTGATATAGCACGGTGAGCTTCCTCAGCAGCTATACGTTCTTTTTCTGCTTCATTTACTCGCTGTATATGATGATTAAGCACCTAAACTCCAGCATCATTAACTGCATACAGTATGAAAAACCTCTTCGGAAACACCAGCAACTTGTCATACACTAACGAAACGTCATTCTGCTAATCTCCTGGTGCAAAAAAGGAAAAAGCCTATGATATCCTTCCTGATACTGAAAGTTGGATAAATTACCTCTAAGCATTCCGGCTCAATTGTTTTTTGTCGATTTAGGCTGTCTTGGGTTAATTTGACCTGCTGTTTGGCGACTGCATGCATCGAGTTCGCACGTTCGAAACGAATTGCTGCATTTTGAGCCTCTTCCCTTAAACGCCGTTCCTGTAAAAAGCAAAATAATTTTTATAAATCAAAAAATTATATATTAGAAAAAAGGTTATTTAAATGTAAGACTAAAGGTACACTATCACATACTGTATTAAAAACAGTAAAAAGCCTTAAGAGGCCAAAGTGTTATAAGAAATAAAAATATGAACATCCTTTCAGCCAGCAAAACTACGCAGTATGAAAATTTGTTTAGAACCAGTCAGTTCAACGTTGCAGTTAGGAAGTGTTTTAACTAAACAATTTAAAGACAATCTTTGTGCTTCCCACTACAATACACAGAAACGTAAAGTAATACTACTACTACTAAAAACAACAATTATAAAGATAACAATGATATAAATAACAACAATGATAGTAACAATAATAATAATAATAATAATAATAATAATAATAATAGCAATAATAATAAATTAATTTTGAGATTTTTCGGAATCAGATGTCAATAAGGGTATCTATCATTTGAAAATGTGCAAACACTGTACAAATTTACCAATAAAGTTTGCAAACAAAAAAACCTAAAAATACAGGCTAGATAAATAGGAATATTTACATGAAAATTTCACTTTCAAAAGAGCTACTGTGAAGTAAAACTTCCATAAAATTTTTGAAATCACTTCCTCTACAAAACTTACAAGACATCTGATCAAAAAATAATGAAATAACTATCAAGCAGATCACAACTCTCCAAAAATACATTATAAAAAATCACAAATCCTAAATGAAGAAGCATAACACAATCTCACCAACTTCAATACCATAACTACAACTTCAGCTCCGAGTCATCCAACTTAAAAATCAATGAATGAAATCCAAAAGAAATAACAAGTAAAACCCACTATTTAATTCAAATGACAAAAATTAAACCAGACTTCGGAGCAGATTTCTGCAAGAGATCAAAGAAAGTCATTAGATTTTTGTCGTTCAATTGACTAAGCAATAATACAAGCAGCAAAATTTAGAGACTATTTGGAACTTCCAGCTAAGCAGTTAGTTATGCAAAAAAAAAAAAAAAAAAAAAAAAAAAAAAAAA